TCAAACCGAGATGACAGACAAATTTGAGTGTTGTTCTAGTTTCCGAGTGGTGATTCAACACACCGATTACTGAGCTGGGAGACATTTTTTTTTTTTTTTTTGTGTGTAATGTGTATAAACCGCACCCCTGACTTTGAATTTTTTTCGGCGGCAAAAAGGTGTGGTTAATACACCGTTAATTACGGTACATGGGTTAATGCCCTTCTAGGAGGCATGATAGCTCAGTCGGTCGAGCAGTGGTCTCGTAATCCAGTGACCCGGGTTCGAAACCAACTCGATGCGCTAGTGCCCTTTGTTAAGGCATTAATCCTCATTACCAGGTCCCTCGGAGAGGACTTAAAGCCGCCGGCTGTCTGGTTGCTTACTAACAAGCATTTATGCTTTCTTAGCAGTCAGGTTAAATAACCACCACTAAAAAACCCCACTAATGCCCTTCTTGCTCTCAGTGGATGATACGCCTTTGTGTTTCTCTTGATGCAGGGGGACGCCGATCTTGACTCTGAGAGCGAGCATCCCGGCTCCCTGATGCTAGAGGGTGTTTACCCCCTCCCAGACACCGCGTCTGAAACCAGTGATGCAGGCAATGATGATGATCACCACGACGACATGTTTGAAGGGAGGAACGAAGATGCTGAGAGAAGAGATGATGAGATCTTCAGATCGGTATCAGATTTCTCCATGGTAGGTGTTAAACCCTCAAAGGACTGGGGTAAAGAGACCACCCTTGTAGCCTCAATACTAATGTGAAAAGCTTGGTTTTCACATGATACAGGGCTAGATATGCAGTTTTGACTTCAATGTTAGTAATAGATAAATCAGGACAACAACATTCTCACCTTTATAAACCAAATTATTTCTGACTTTCAGTTCCATTGCTATTCTACACTTGATTGTATTAAATAAGTAATATGACATTTAAATTTAAAAGTTTTTCCTACCCATTGTGGGTTGACTGGAAATATTTGAGGTTAGATACAATTAGATACAAAAGTGCATATAATGGATAATACAGCAGTTTTTAGAAAATGTGGTTTGTGAGATCTTGGAAACTTTATTTTCATTGAACAGACCCCCACCAGTGGAAGTCCTCGGGACATCCACCACCTCTCCATCCATCTCCCAGACACGGACAGGACCGAAGAAAGCCTGCCTCTCCAGTCTCCGGACCACTACCCCTCCTCTACCACCTCTCCCCAGCTATCTCCGTTCACACCCACCACACCATCCCGCCATGGGGGCAATCGTAGCACCCTGGATGGAAAGGAGGATGGAGGAGAGGGGCGTGGCAAGGAAGAGAGGCCTATTGAGTCTCAGCTCGGAGCGGAATTCAAGTCGTTTGAGGAACTGGTTGAACTGCAGATCAAAGCTGATGACCGAACGGTATGTATGTTTCCACGATACATACTTTGGAAAGGGATTTATCCATTTGACCTATAATTCTCAAGATTATGCATTTTATCTCACATCTTGCCCAAGTGCATGTCCTTTATTTTGCAGATATCTCTCTCTTCTCTTTTTTCCTTCTTCTTTTCCCCCTTCTCCTTCATATCAGTTCTTTTCTCTTTTTTTTTCTTCTTCCTGTGCTTAGTCTTCTTAAGTCAGCTTATTTTGGTCAAATTCCTCCTCAGTACCGGATCTCAATCTCCTCTTTCACCTTACAGCTCCCTACAGCTGGCTCCACCACTTCAGAACAGACCACCGGAAGACCGCGGCACACCTTCTTGAAGAGGGGCGAGGGCATCTCCAGATTTGGAATGAAACCAAGGAAACTCAAGCCTCGCAAAGACAAACCAGCTCTGCCGACTCGGAGCGGTGTCGGAGCGAAGAAGCCTAAGAGTGATGGAAGCAGAGTTGGGGGCAAGACAGAGAGCATGGGTGGAAAGCAGAGGGAGAATGTTGGCAAGAAGAGGCAACCAAAGAAAGAGGAGCCTCCAAAGGTAATTTCCATGACTACCCGGTATACATTTGCTTGTCATATCCTAACATATTTGTTGGGGGTAATCTAAATGTGGTACGGGCAAATGATTAGATGGCATGCTTTGTCTGTTTAGTCCTAGAATATGGACATATGATATTTGTACTTCAGAATTTGATATAAACCAACACAAATATTATCACTTTTTTGTCCTATACCTCTAGCACAAGCCTCATCATTTCTAAAAAAATATTCCTTCATGTGACCACTTTGAAAAAAAAACATCTAAAAAAATTACCTCTACTGGTCTGCATGACTTGAATGTTGTTTCCTCCGGAAAAAGGCACTATGTAAATCCAATTATCATGATCAATGTTATAGATGTCACTATGTCTTACCAAGATTCAAGATTTATTTATTTCATTCCACTGACATGAAAACAATACATTCATGAACAGTGACAACATTTTCATCGTGAACAAGAATAAATTCATGAACAATACAAGAAAGTTATAAAGACATTGAAAATGTGGAAAAGAGGTGGTCTGTAAAAAGCACAGCTTGTTAAAAACACAGATCACCTTTACAAGAACAACAACAACAAGTATTTAAAAAGAAGTAGATAATAAATAATATAGAATAGAAATAGAAATATGGAAATTATATGAATTTATCTTCCTGGAAATTCATTATCAAATTAAAATGAATATTCATCCACTCTAATCAGATTTCCAGGAAGGTCTCTAGCAAGCCCCCATCTCATTCTCAGCCTGATGTGCAGGCACCGGAAAACATCTTCAAGAAGCCCCACCCAGCTCCGGCACAGAAACCCAGGACCATCAAACCAGTCATGTCACCGGTGGAGAGAGAGAAGGTGGGTGTGGCCTCCCTCCAACATCGTCTCATGGTGCCCAGCCTAGACTTACCGTACAGTAGCCAATCAGAGCTTGACGACACCATAGAGGTTTCTTTCATGAGACGTGCTAACATCTGGGAGAAGGAAACCAAGGTAATTTGGACAAGATGTTACTTTTCAAATGTTCTTTGTACACTATGTTAATAGAAGTAATTTTAATGCATTACTGACAAGGATATTTTGTTAATCAGAAAGTCATTCTGGTCAGTAATGAAACCATTTCTGACCATACTGGTTTTTATAAATATATCAATCATACACTCTTATTGTACTATCAACCCCTTCTAAACCATGTTTCAGTCTCTGACTAAAGATCCATTCCTTAATTTACTCACAATCAAATGTATCTAAAGAGATGATTGGTACTTCAAAATTTTAAAAATAGCAACAAAAACACAACCGACGTTCTAATGTAAGCAAACGACATGGCCGATGATAGCAGATAATGCCAACTCTGCTATCGTGCACCACTTGCTGAAGAATGAAGAATGCACTGAACAATACTGTTTATCTTGGTGCAAAATGACATGAAATAAACCATTAAGATGATCAGGATCCAACTGAAGAAGGAAAAAACCTTATTTACCTTCAAAAAGTGCAAGATAAAAGGTTTCTACAAGTGTAAACTATCCAACCGTTTGTCTATACTTTACACATTTACTTACTTTCTTATCATTTGAAATGTTTTTTATATGTATGTTTTTAAAACTTGTATGTATATATAGATTTTGGACATAAAAACAAACAAACAAACAAACATTTGTTTCAAACATTGTTCATATAGATAGAGCAAGAAGATCTAGATGAGTTTGAGATGTTGGAAGAGGCTGCTGATGATAACGCATCATTCTGCAGTGAAGCTTCGCTGGTCATCAGTGTCCTCCAGAGAGCTCAGAGGAGAAAACAGGTTGGTAGCATTTGGACTCTTTGTTCTTTTTCTGTGTGGTGTGTATATGTGTGTGTTTCTCTCTCTCTCTCACTCTCTCTCTCTCTCTCTCTCTCTCTATCTCTCTCTTTCTCTGTCTGGCTCTCTTTAATTCTTGTTGTATATTTAATTAAAGAGATATTACTCTACATTTTTGACACTAAACCAAGGTGTAGTAGGTAGGTACTAGGTGTAGTACATAGACCCAGGCCTAGAGGGTTAATCATTCCTGAAATGCCATGTGCAACGTTAACATATCAATATATTTATTGATTTATTTGTTGTCAACTTTCTCTCTCTCTCTCTCTCTCTCTCTCTCTCTCTCTCTCCCTCTCTCTACTGTCATCCTCTCAATTTCTTTTCCTCTGCATTTTATTATATTTGTAAAGCGCTTAGAGACATTTGTATTTAGCGCTATATAAATTAAATTTATTATTATTATTATTATTTACTGTACTTTAAATTGAACTCCACATTTTTACTGTTCCTAATCCTTGTTTCTCCTGAAATTTCAGGAGCTTCTTGGTGTATCCCCACTGAACAAAAAGGCCCCTCTAGCAACTCTCCAGTCTGTGGATGCCACTGAGGAAAATAATTATGAGTCACATGACAGACCACCTGACCAGTCACATGACCCTACCCTGATGAATGGACACTATACTGAAAATGTGCATATAGCAAGTGACAAAAGGAATGGGTATTCTGAGCAAAGAGGTACAAAGGTGACTGATGGTAAACCATCGCTGGCGGTTCACAGGGAGACGGTTCCGAGTGGACGGTTGACCTTGGGTGAAGGTCATGCGGCGGAGATACGAGATGACTTCTACTCTTCCGGAGGAGAGTCGGATGAAGAGACGGGGAAGGATGCGGATGATGCTGGGGTAGGGAGGTCAGTGATGAGAAAACTATCTAAGAGATCTTCAGAAAAGGGTTTTATGATGGAGTATCAGCTGGACTCACAGCAAGACGAGGATGAGAGTGGAAGGATAGAGGGAAAGGAAGTCAGCAGACATCTTGGAAGGTTACATGACAGTGATGATGAAGAGGAGGAGGAAGAGGAAGAGGAAGAAGATTTTGATATTTATAGAACAGGAATGAATGAAAACAAAAACAATAATAGCAACACCAATGTTAGACATGAAATGCTGCTGACACAGAACAGGACCGCAAGCAGTCAATTCATAAGAACTTCCAGCAGCACAACAGCTAAGGGCTCACACCCGAATGAAAATGGAGATACCCACAATGGCCATTCAGTGGGAAAGATTAACATATCAGATGAGTTTGAAGAAGATTTTGAGGGAACACCAAGGAAGACCATAGCGTCCCCCGAGGTTGCGAATCAAGTTGAGTTTGAAGATGAAGAAACGTGGGGAGACTTCACGGCACAGCTTAGTGATAGCAGTGATGAGGACAGCATTGTCGCTATGGCACCCTATCTCAAATCAACTCCAGCAAAAGGTATGTTCAGTTTGAAATGGTCTGTTTATGGAATTCTATTGAAATTGTGCTCAAAAGTTGGACTACAGCCTGGAATTACCTAAGCCTCAAATTACCTAAGCCCCGGCATTGCTATTACCTTCATACAAGCATTTTAACCAGGAGCATTAATTACTGTTTTCGTAAATATCTTCAGATGAGGGGAAAGTGGGGATGAAAAGAAAGAAGAGCGAGAAGACAGCGAGTGTAGAAGTCCTTCTGTCTCCTCCTCCAACCTCAGCTCTCGTTGCCAAACTCTTCCCAAAGCTCAGGCAGCCTGATGTCAAACAAAAGCACCAAATCGTAAGTGGCATGTTCTTTCTCCCCACCCCACATATTATGTTATCTTTCTGTGTCGTTTTTATCCTCATTTCATTAATTTGTTTACATTTGTTTACAATTACTTATTTTAAGCATCTGTTATTTAAAGAGTTCAAAGACGTAGCTAAGATCAGCATGATTCTAAAGATAAAGTTTTGGGCTTGACACTCTTTAGGCTCCAGTATAAAGAGAGCCCACCCCCCTTCCCTCAATTTAATACCTGGTCCTTGGGGAGGGGGTGTAGTGTTATTATTTATTACCAGGATATTATCATTATGATAAATCTTTGTGTACTTAAATACTTTCTCGAGGAGCATAAGGTCAAGGTAATGCCAAGGCTGAGAGACCGGCAGGAGCAGGCTACAATTATTACTATAATTCTGATGGTGTTTGTAGATGCTTCTGTTCTTCTCTTCCTCATTTTCCTCCTCCTACTCGAAACCCTGCCCTCTGTTTCTTCTTCTTCTTCTTCTTCTTCTTCTTCATCTCCTCCTTCTCCTCCTCCTCCTCCTCCTCCTCCTCCTCCTCCTCCTCCTCCTACTACTACTCCTCCTTCTCCTCCTACACCTGTTTCATTATTGGTGTTATCATCATTGTATGTTTTTTTTCCCAGGAGCATGAGGAGAAGGCCCTCCATGCCAAGGCTGAGAGACCTGCAGGAGAAGGCTCCCAGGCAAGGCTCCTCAGGGATCGACTCACCCAGCTGGAGAATGAGATTGAGAGATTCAGGAAGGAGAACCTCCTCCTTGCCAAACTCAGGGAAGAAAGAGAGAAGGTAAGTTATTTCTTGGTATCACCTGTGCCTGGGAGGGGATAAGCAAACTGAACCACTGTGACCCTCTGGTCTTCCCTTCCGGTACAACTGGTTGGGGGTGTGCAGGGGTTTCCCCCTACTCTGATTTAAAAAGTGCAGTGGGTTCAAAGGTGGCAACTCTCCTCTACACAGGGTCTCCATTTAACATCCTATCTGAGGGACAGTGCTTTCCACTGTCTTTTAGCCCTCTACGAAACAGAGGAAGGTGATATGAACAGACAACTCAGGTTTCAGTTATCCGTCTAGGTTGGATTCAAACCCATGACCTTTGGTTTGACAGGCAGACACTTAACTGACTGAGCCTCTCATCTCGCCTTGTATTAAAACTTCCTTCAAATAGTGATTAACATTAATGTCACTCACTGGGCTTATCATTTTTTACAGAGAAATGGATTTGTGTTAAACTTATTCGTCAATGTTGGATTGTCATTCCATCTGATGTTGTACGGCTCATTTTGGTGAAATTACCACAATATGAATTTATTCATCCTGGGGGGTGTTTCACAAAGATCCTAAGTAGAACTTAACACTAAGTGGGACATAACAATTATGGACAGCCATTGGAGCCTTAAAATGAAATATATTCAAAAGCAGAAATTCAAGTATTTTTAGACTTTTTATAAATTCCACATCAAGAACATGAAATCTCCTTGATGATAGAAAATACGAATGATTGGAATCAACATTTTATGCCTTTTAAAATAACTTTTACAAAATATTTTCAAAGATGCTAATGGCTTTCCATAATTTTTAAGTCCAACTTAGAGATAAGTTCAACTTAGAATCTTTGTGAAACACCCCCCTGGACCTTAAAAAGTTACTTCTCACGTTTTATTCTTGAACTCTAAGTTTTCCAGTAAATTCATTCATTTAATATCCTGTGACTCTGTCATCATCATTATGATCTTTATCATTATTACCACCATCATCTTTATCATTACTATCACCATCATCATCACCATCATCATCATCATCATCACCATCCTCTTTATCATCATTATCACCATTATCATCTTCATCATCATTATCATCATTATCATCAACATCATCATCATCATCATCATCATCATCATCATCATCATCATCATCTCATCATCTTCATCACTGACATTATCATCACCATCATCATCATCATCTTTATCATCATCATCATCTTTATCATCATTATCATCTTTATCATCATTATCATCTTTATCATCATTATCATTATCAATGTCATCATTATCATCACCATATCGTCTTCATCATCCTCATCCTCATCATCATCATCTTTATCATCATTATCATCTTTATCATCATTATCATTATCAATGTCACCATCATTCTCATCATCATGATGCAGGGATTAGAGTCCATGAAGAAGGAGATGGAAGAGTTTCAGAAGCAGAAAGCAGAAGAGTTGCAGAGAATTCAAGAATACAAAGATGAGGAGACAAAGAAACTCAAGTAAGTTCAGCAAGTTATGATAAGAATGCCCCTTTTTTTAAAGAATATTTCAATATCTTCAAAACTTTGCTCAGACATGATGCAATTGACATGACACGACATGATGCAACATGATGCCTTTAAAACAGTTGTATAAAAAACTTTATATTTAAATGGATGGCAATAGACATGAAAGACTGAAAATACATAATCTGTATAGATTATAATGTAGAAAATGGAATTAAAATTGAAAATAATGTTTAAAAAAATCAACCTTTCTAGGAGAGTTCATCTCAACCCTATATAACGCAAAAGAATCTTGTGCTGAAATTTTAGTACTTTTTTTTTCTTCCAAGTCTTGCTTTTTGAAAGTCTTTTTTGAAATCGAACCTACCATGACAAATTCATGTGACCTTTTGTCTTTGCATGTCAGCCCTCACTGCAAATCATTCATTTTCATGATTTGTGTACAAAACATATGGAAATATAATTTTTCCAAAAAGAGATAACAAAATTGTTATTTGATCTTGTTTATAGTTTAGATGTTTGTTTTGGGGGTCAACATAGTTGAATTATATTTAGAAATGAAATAAATTAACAAAAACAATACAATACATAGGTTATAAAAACAGTGAAATACATGAGAAATTATAAAAACAATAAATAACATGGCTCTTCCAAATTGTATTATTATTCCAAATGGTGTAAAGAGATTATGTAGTGAAAATGAATGTTTAAATGTGAAGAATATTATATGATTCATGGGTAAAAATGTGAATTTTATCACCTTAATGGAATAAATGACCATGGGGGGGGGGGGGGGCCTTAGAAGATAAGTCACAGCTAGGACTTACAGCGTTGTCAAATTTGTGTTGGATTGATTACAACTACAGAGATTCATAACTTTCTTCTTTTTCATTTTATAGCATTTTGCTCAAACATTCTGTGATCTGTTCCTTTTATTATTCTGCTTCTATTAAAACACACTAAGGGTGGACTTCCCCTTTAAATGTTTGTATTTTAGATGTTTAACCAATTCCACTTACCGGTAGAAGAAAACACAAAAAGGAAATACACAATTAATTCTACCTTCACTTCCTGTGTGGGAGATTCCCTCACAGTCACAAATGATTAAAAGGACAAAAACACAATGCCTAATCGGTGACCATTGGTCCCCCATGATCCCCTTTTTCTTATGATAATTGAGAGCTTATTTGATGAGATAACCACCTGTCAGTGACCATGCAGGGAGGTCTGATCCCTCCTAGCCAAACTAGTGTGGTGGGGCTTTAATACGAGTGACCCTATTAGGCTGTAATGCAAAAGCAAGATCACAACGAAAATAACAAGCGGCCCCTCCCCTTGAAAAAAGAAGAAACACATAAAGAAATTAGCAATACAAAACATATAAGCTACGATATGTATGTTTTCTACAACTACAGTAATTATACATTTATGTCTATTACATGTACCTGTAACTTTTTTTAAATATATAAAACTACTATTTCTTTATTTTTAATTTCTTTTGAAGTTTTCAAATGATGCACTCCAAACTTCTTAAAAAAAGACACACAAAATACGATAGTAGCATAGTAAATACAAGAAAAATCAGTGACCCTGTTTAACCTGTCCAATAATAATTATAATCCTAGTTTATGCAAGAATGAAAACAATTCCATTAAAACAATGACTCATAGATTTCCCCTGAAATGCACACCTATCCCGCCCAAGTGCAAGGACATCCACTGGAGGATATTTTGAATTATTAAAACGACGACCTACAAGGAGACGTTAACGAGTTGTTGTTCCTGGTAAAGCCCTAAGCCTAATATGTTTCCTTAATTAACCCTTTCCCCCTTCCTCTGCAATGTATTCCATGCAGTTGAGCTGCTGGAGCACCGTCTACAGCAGTCAATGAGTTGATGCATTGAAGTTAAATGTGATAGACATGGGGGTGCTTATACACTATTACATGATTTGAAGGACACACATGTTGACACGGTGTTGCAGGGAAGGAATTGATTTTGGATATTTTTAGGTTGGGAACAGGAGAATTTCTAAGTAAGGAATATTAGGGATTACTACATGTACCTGAAGCACCTGTGTTTTGATATTAGTAATGCTGGTAAGCTGAATTGTTTTATTGTGTCTATCTTTGCTTTACTGTTTGTATGCTTGTGTATTTGTTACATGTCATGTCTTTGCATTATATTGCTTGAATTCATGTGATTTAAAAAAATATTTGTGTATAAACAATTAATTGAGTGATATTGATGTATGACACACATACCTGCATGACGACATCCGGATACTATTTCTGAATAACAATTTGCCAAATAGGGCAACATGTACATGTATGTATCATTGCTTAATGCAGAAGACATTGAAGGGATATAGATTTATGTCTTTGTTCCCTAAACAGATCAGAACAGAGGGCTTTTTTAATCACCCTTCTAAAGTGTTGTGATTGATTCTAATTGAATGAATATATGTGATGACCAGAATAAGTAACATTGTAGATGATAGATGGGTGATTTTAAGGTTTTTCGATTTCAGTTTTCAGACTGGGTTTTGGATCAATTACAACTTTTATCAGACAAAAGCATTTTATTGTATTTCTTTGTCTTTTGACTAGACGAGAGAGGAAGATGTTTGAGAAACACCAGAAGACATTGAGAACCATGCCTGATAAACGAGATAGAGAAGAGATTGAGATGCTCAAACACCAGGTAAAGATCAAATCATCTTCCCTTTGTGGAAATTTAAAAGATCACTGAGGGTACCACTGAAACATTTAGGTTGTACTTTTATAAATGTTTTTATTTGTTTACAAAACACATTTGCAAACACTGTCATGAATATGTTACTGTTTGAATTGTCAATATTAAACAACCTAACCAATTACCCTTGTGAATACCTGCAAGAATCGTCATAGTAATTCCACTTAATGTTTCTATAGATAGAGGGTCTACAACACAGTATTTAAACGATGCATTAACCTCCTCTCCCCCCTCTTTTTCTTTCTCTTTCTACATAATAATAATAATAATGGTGGCTTCTTATATAGCGCACATGTCCGTCACGTTGTGACGCTCCTGGCGCTGCCCTGATTATTACCCTGGCTTAATATAATATTTTTACACACTTTGTCTCTGTGTATGTGTTTCAATCCACATATTCCTTCCCTAATTTAGCACCGTTCACTGTATCTTGCCCCCCCCTCCCTCTCTCTCTCTCTATCTCTTTCTCATCACCTTCTCTCTTTTTTTTCCTCCCCTTCTCCCTCTTTCTCCTCCCCTTCTCCCTCTTTCTCCTCCCCTTCTCTATACACACTTTGCCTCTGTGTATGTGTTTCAATCCACTTATTCCTTCCCTAATTTAGCACCGTTCACTGTATCTTGCCCCCCCCCCCTCCCTCTCTCTCTCTCTATCTCTTCTCTCTTCTCTCTCTCTCTCTCTCTCTCTCTCTCCCTCCCTTTTTCTTCTCTCTCTCTCTCTCTATCTCTCGCTTTTTCTTTCTCTCTCTCATTTTTTTTTTTATATCTTACATTGCCTGTCCTTATATCACTCTCTCCTGCATATCTGTCTGTGTCTGACTCTCTGTCTTAAACCCTGTGACTCCATCCCCATGTTTTTTTCCAATCACCCTTGCTATGTGACACTTATCATCTTTTTTCTTATCCTTAAGCTGGGTGACCTTCAAACAGAGCTCAAGCAACGTGAGTCAAGATGGAATGCATCAACCAGGAGGCTCAAAGATCGGACTGTTGCCTTGGAAACAGAGAATACTGAACTGCGGGAAGAGGTCAAACTCATGGAGCAGAGAAGACTAGCTGCCTGGAAGAAGGAGGAGCATAACAAGGTAAAGAACCTTCTAATAGTTGGAGAATCATTTTCATTACTCACCCGTACAGCATTTTCACTAAAAGTACATAGGTAACTAACCACTTCTTTTAACAAGTATAAAAGCTGGAGGTCAGAATGGAAAACAAAAGTAACTTAATCTCCTTTGTTATCAGTAGCAAATAAATCTTGAATTCACTATTTTTTTATTAAAAAAAAAAAAATCCAACTACATGTATTAAAGATAAGGACAAAAACAAGACAGCCTTTTTTTTTCTTCATTACTCCTTCATGGCAATGTGTGAGAAGTTTTATTTGGTAGCAGAGAGGAAATCTTTAAAGTTCATTTATTTATTATTTTATCAGGGATATCCTTAAATCACAAAAGTGCCTCAATAAAAAAATACTAAGCTTGGATCAGTTTTCAATCTTTTCATAGAACAATCAAAAGTTTAGGGGAGCATTCATTACTGTGTACTCTATACAATCAGTTCATGTATTTGGTGATAAGAGAGTACAAAAAAACTTTAAAAAACATTATTATTGTTGTTTTGATTTCTTTTAGGGAAAGCCTATCTATGCACAGCCCTCCTCAATACCAAAACCCAAACCCAGTCCCCCCGCAAGACATGAACATCAAACAATGGAACAGTCCAACAACAATAACATCAACAAGAAGAGGCCAGGAAGTGAGGACCGTCCCATTATTAGAAATGGGGATAGTCAGCATCACAGAGGGAGTGCAAAGTCCAGGACCATGTCAGAGAGCTCAGATGATGATGATAGTGATAATGAATACCTGCAAGCATACCCCGCACCTAGAATGGAACCTTCCAAGCAGGATGATGATATGTGAGTCTTCTTTTGCTTTTATATTGGTTGCACTAGTCAATCTCATGAATATTCATTTTAACTCATCAAGTTTAGAATTGATCTTGTTTTTTTTTTAATTATTATTATTTTGTACCCTATCTTACTTGCTACTGCAAGCCCTCAAATGTACCATATAAAATGTACATGATACATCTTTCAAAATATCAGGGTTGTTTTTGGTATAAGGATTTTTCATGGCCAATATTACATGTTCATTTTTATTTAGACCCAATGTATATTTAAAAACACAATTTTGTGATGATTAATATGAAAGCATTGGTATAAAGGTATTGAAAGCAGAGGACATTTGATATTTTGTTTTCATATTACTTGTTTGATCATATTTTTAAGAGTTTTTGTAAATCTTTCTCATTTGTATCTAACCCTCTATTCAATTTGAAATCATTTATGAATGAACGAATGAAGGAATAATTTTATTTTTATTTCTGAAATACCATATATATTTACAGGGTATAACAAAAGTATATGGTGATGGGAGAACATGAAATAGTCCAAAATTGCTAGTGACAATATGGTTCCCTGATACCTCATACTACATACAAAGTATTTTTTTACTAATGTATATAATATGCCATACAAAATTTAGTACTGGGAAGAAGTACATTTGTACACATACAAAGAAACAAATAAACATACATGTTTAAATACTTTGGACATATAAAACTTCAATTAGGCAATCTTTGAATTAAAATTAAAATATGTACATTGAGATACATTACTGTATATATTCCATTAGCATCCTTTCTCTTAGCTCCTTATAAAATGATTTTACAGAGGGTTTCTCTTTAACATCTAATAGCAATGAGTTCCATATCAATGATTATTCCTATTATGACATCTACTGCTTGATACATGCACGTAATTCAGGAGTAATTCTTGGAGTAAGTATGAAGTGAACCTGTATCTACATGTAAGAACCTCCCCCATGTTGCTGTAGGTTGTTCTATATGATTTAGTTTTCAGTTTTCACAGTTCTATATCTGTTGTTCCTTTGTTTAGTAAACTCTATCTTGACACCTTTTGAAGAGTCCATGTATAGCTTTGTGTCATTGCTGTATGGGCAATCTTGCATGAAAAGGTTATACAACTCACTCCTAGATCCTAATCAAATGATGGATCAAACGCGGTCACATGTGATGCATTTACTGAGACTATCACATATTTTTTCATGAAGAAGCGTGCAATAGTTTGCAGTACTATCCAACGATTTTTAAGTGTGCGATGCGTAGTAGTGGGGTTAGTGCTTTTATAATGTGTGTGTGCCTATTCTTGCGTAGCACTGTGCGTAAGTGCGTTTATCTCTGTGCGATGCTAAAGTAAGCCTATTAAACTTCATATTTATTTGTCATCGATAAAAACATGATATTATTTTTTACATCAAATAACAATGATCTAAGAGAGGATCTATCCACTCTCGTTGAGGCTATTTGTGCACTTGTGTGTATTCAGTCTGACAGGTTCATAAGATAGATGCATACAGCCTCAACGAGAGTGCAGATAGGTTGTCATAATAAACTCATTCGCATGCATCTTTAGCACATAGACTGCATGATAATCTCAATATTTGTTGTCTGTTTCTTCATGTCTCTCTTTCCCATGACATGATATATCTGTAAATTGTAAATGATGTGAGGTATTTGCAGTTTTTCTATTGCCATCTCTCACACCATGCATAAACCTAGTGGTTTGACATGTGGACCTTTTAAATTTGTTTATCTACTGCATTTGCTTCTTGAAATTGTAGTGGAGTTATTATCACTTTCCTGTTCTGTGACATGTTTGCGTGGAAAAGCCATATGTTGGAAATGACTTGGAGGAGCTACTCCATTGAATAAGATTGCATGTGGTTGATTGGTGTGGAGTCGTCTTTTCTTGTTGTCGCATGCACAGATTTAGAGAAGAGGTAATATGATGCCCATCGCCACAAGTCTTTGTTCATGGGTCAAAGGTGGATTTGATTTAGTAATTAGATTACCTTGTTGCTCCTCTTTGTCTTATGACGACATGTCTCATGCAATGAATTCTGTAAGCAACCAGCTGAGATCTCGTCATACCCATTTTCCCTTTCAAGAGGGAAAGAATTTTGATTTTAGCTAAATATGGTTTATTTGACATTTTGACAATGAACACTGCCTTGTGTTTTTGTTTAGAAACAAAGAATTGGATTTGATTTGGGGATGTTCTTGGCAGGCACGAACAAATAAAATAATTGATAATTAAAATCCACTTGTGGCAGTAATCATCAAATTAAGCTAAAGATTTTGATTTTTGTTCTTCTTCAAATTATGATTATATATGATGATAACTGAATTAGTCTAAAGGAACTACTTTGAATGCTTCTTTTATTTATAGAATTTATGAGAGCCAAATAGCTCTCAGACGGAGTCGATCGCCGTCAGACCGCGAGCCACCTCCCATCCCGGTACCCAATGAGAGAACCCCGCCCCCTGCCCGGACGAAACCCTCGTCCCTCTCCCCCTCTTCAACATCCTCCATCCAGCCCACCCCTCTAAACAGAAGTCCACAGCACCTACCTCAACCCAGACCAAGAGGCTCACCACATAGAGACATGCAGAATGGGCATGGGTTCAACCATGGAGTTGCAGGTAAAGGGGTGGTCAGCAAACACCAAGATGGAGGGGATGAGGATGATGAGGATTATGAGGATGTTTTACATGGAGATGGAAAGGTAAGTTATGATCTCTTTTGTCATCTCCATTCGGTATTCCCTTTCAGAGATCAAAAGAAGAAAAAAACACCATAATTCCTGTATTACTGCTCTCTGCAGTATTTGACTGTTTGGGATTGAGTGCAAGGATGAGAAATGATTGAATAAAACTGATCTCTATATGCAAGAGAACTGCACTGTGATGTTTTCAGATAATCATGTTTTGCCAATGTGATTACCATGGGTGTCGATCCGTAACTGATACCTATTCATCAGGGGGGGATGATCTATTCATTCATCCCCCCCTGATGAATAGGTATTACGTAAGGATCGACACCCATGGTGATTACCCTTCTTTAATTGCGATTAGATTTGTCCAAAATCAGTGATTCCTTGTCAGTCTCCCTCATGCACTCTACTCTATTTTTAATTGTAGATCAAACTTTATATCTGCTATAATTTAAAGGGGGGAAAAAAGATTACTTTTTATAAATGATCGTTGCTCATGAGAGCTCATGTCTTTCGAAACCTGTCTATAAAGACCACCCAAGGGAGACAAGAAAAGTGGTCTTTATAGGCAGGTGGTCTTTATGTACAGGTTCCTTTAGTACATTTGTCAATAAAAAACCATTTTCAAGGGAAACCCAAAATGTGGTCTTTGTAGACAGGTGGTCTTTCTATACAGGTGGGTCACTAAAGCAGGCTTGACTGTACCATTCCCTTTGTCTGTCACAGGTTGAGCAGATCAACCCAGATGGGTCAAGAGTTCTGACCTTCTCCAACGGAACGAGGAAAGAGATCAGTGCGGACGGTCAGACCATCATCATCTCTTTCTTCAACGGTGATGTCAAACAGATCCTACCAGATCAACGTGTGGTGAGTACTTTTACATCATTAAATTTTTCCGTCCAGACTTTTATTCTCGTACAATTCATCTAGTAGAGGTATCATGGTCTAGTGGATACGCCGCTGGACTGTGGGTCAAATGGTCCAGGGTTCGAGTCCAAGCGCGTCACTATCCTTGGCAAGACATTAATCTACATTTGCCTCTCTCCACCCAGGTGTTAAATCGGTACCCGGTAGGATGTGAACGTTAATGTGGTTGGATTGGCATGTGTGCGCTGGTAAAATGGCACCTGGCTGGAATACTCCACAGGGAGTGGAAAATGTGCACTATCATTTGCCGATTAGCAACTGAATCCAATGACCTGGGGAATAATATTTATAATATAAATGCTTTATAAACGTAGTATTAAGTGCTATACAAATGTGTGACTATTATCATTTCACAAATGATACATTTTCTGGTATTGTAAACAGGTAAATTTCAGTCCAGAAAGGCTGAAGTAGGAAGAAACCCAAATTTGAAGGTAATCAACACTGTTGTTGGTTGATAAAGGGTATGAAAGACTCTCTTTTACATCATATCAATACAGTGGAACTTCTAATACTGTAATAGCTTTGGTCATTTATGTGGAACTGGTAAAGCACTGTATACAAAACGGCTGTTATAATCATTGTACAAAACTTGCAAATATGTGCGATCACTGTTTTTCCTCCTTTTTTTTCTCCATCAGGTATACTACTATTCAGAGACCAAGACGACTCACACTACATACCAAGATGGTTTGGAAATCCTTCAGTTCTCAAAGTAAGTATATATCGTTACTTCACCTTTTTTTTGGGGGGGGGGGGGGGGGGGGGGTCTTTAACTACTTTGTGTTGTTGGTGTTGTTGTTGTCACTCCTTGTATGTATTACTTTCTTGTATAACCAACAAAAAATTTTTGACTGTTTTAACTTCTATATTCTACAAGCATTTTCATTCTGTGAAAAATAATTGTTGATGGATTGTTATGATATCTTTATAGTATTGTTTTGATTTGATTTTGATTTATTGGTCTCTGCATCTTTTTTGCTTTTGGTGTCTTTATTTACATTCATGTGTTTCTTTGAGACTCACTGTTTTCTAAAGATGATTACTTTAGATAAGCTTTTAAAACAAGTCTTGGAATCGAACTTCCTGCATATTCATGATTCATTTCCTTCTGGATGCATTCCAAACATGAGCCAGAATAGTGAACACCTCCCCATGTTTGATTCAAATGATTTAATTTCTCATGCAAAATATAATACAATGAAGAAGTATATTACAAAAAATATATACAATGAAGTGACAAATATAATAGAAATAGCACGAGAAAAGAGGAACTAACTAGAAGCAGAGCTTGTTGAAGTGTTAGTTCCTCAGATGCTGTTTTACAAATGTATCTTGAACAAAGTATACTTAGAAAATCAATAATTTTCATCCTTATCCCACCTGTACCCCACAGCAATCAGACCGAGAAGCATTATCCAGACGGTACAAAAGAGATCACCTTCCCCGATCAGACTATCAAGTACCTCTTCCCTAACGGCGGAGAGGAGAGCGTGTTTGCGGACGGCACCGTCCTGAGAGTTGACCCCAACGGTCATCGGGTCATGGAGTTCCCCAATGGTCAAAGGGAGATCCACACTGACCAGTACAAGGTAGGATTGAATAAAGCTTTATATAGCAAACAATGCCTAATCAGTGCCTGTCGGTCCCCCATGATTCCCTTTTTCTTATGTTAATTGACAGCTGATTTGATGAGATAACTACCTGTCAGTGACCTTGCAGGGAGGTCTAATCCCCCCTGGCCAAACTAGTGCAGACGGGCTTTAATTTACCGGTATTAAAATCTACTGATTATTTGCAGTGTAGGTAATTTGAAATTGAAAGAAACAAAAATTGCAATCTCTTTTGCATAGTATCTGACTACAGGGTATGGACTTGATACTGCTTTTATCCTTTAGTTCTTACAGCTCATTTGCTCTGAAGCTCACATGAAGAAAAAATATGTTGGAAATTAGTTTTCATTGTTTTTTCATGTGAGTCCAGAGATGCCAACCAGTACGATTAAATTGTATTTAGTACGATAATAAGAGTGAAATACGATCTTAAAATCTTAAAATACGATTTTTCATCTTTTTTTCCCCCCAAAAATTGTACAAACTAAAGTGGTATTACATCGCAATCATTTCTTTACACTGTAAGGGTTCTCATTAAAACTTTGTGGTAATTATCTTCTACTCTCTCAGGGAAATCAGTAATTTGCAAAATAAAAAGGTAAAGCAATGATGTTTTCTGACTTCTCTTTACCTTCAAGTTTGACCAATAATATTCAAGACAATGCTTTGTTTTGTCTCTTCTTGTCTACAGAGGAGGGAATACCCTGATGGCACAGTGAAGACCGTCTATCCTGACGGCCGCCAGGAGACCAGGTACTCTAGCGGTAGAATCAGGATCAAAGACAAGACTGGTAACATCGTAGTGGATAGAAAGGGCTGAGGTATCATGGTGAACATTCCTGGGGGTGTTTCACAAATCCTTTTTTCAATGACAAATGACAAAAATCAGTGACAAATCTGCTGATAACCAGTCAGAAGCAAGGATTTCAGTAGCTTATAACAACAGTTTTGTGAAACATCCCCCAGGATGTAATGTCCCATGAACCCATTGCCTTCTGGATCCAGATGGCTCCTGTATTAAGCAGCAATCACTCATTGGCCAATGAGAGAATCCCATAGTCAAGAGGTTCAAAGTGAAACGCCAAGGAAGTATATTCCCCATGTTCTTTAGATGGGTAGCTTTTTTAACTCATCACGCCAACCAAAAAAAAACATACACTGGATTAGTGAGCTATTAAGCTTTGGAAAGCTTCCTAGTAGCTATGGAACCCCCCCCCCCCCCCCCCCCCCTCAAAAAAAAAAAAAAACTCAAGTAGAAGATGTATAGATGGGCACTGATATTTCTCACCCCTTTAAGAAAAGATTTTATATATTTATTAACTACAAATCATCATTATTACTTAAGATTACCCTGTACAGAAAGACCACCTACCAGTGAAGACTGCTTTTCTTGTCTTTGTGGAGTGTCCTTTAGGTATGGGTTTTCCATCACCCAACCGGAGAATGAAATGAAATTTTTTGACTCAAGGGCCTTGGACATCTTGCTAAATATTTTTTCCTCTGTACCTCTATGAATGGCCAGCTTCTTTAAATACGATTATTGCTCATATTTTGCTTTGTAACTATCTTTTTCATTTTCTTGCCATTATTGCACCTGTGTGTCGGAATGTCATAATTTTGTGCTGCTTTGATTTTTCCCCAGTATTTTCTGAGATTGATTTTGTTTATTTGACTGATTTCATGGTTTTTGTTCATAAGTTGCATGATTTTTGTCCAGTTTTGTACATGTATGTAATTTCATAATAAAAATATTAATAATATTTAATTTTTATATAGCGCTTAATACAGATGTATCTAAGCGCTTTACAAATATACCGTGTACTTACCCAAAGTTAATTATTCACTTGTCCAGATTTATAGGCATTATATTTATTACGATTGTGCACTAGTTCTGGTAGGTGCTGAGACTGGCATTCATAGTATAATGATGTGAAGAACTTATATTGCACCATTTATAAATCACATGTAATTGTTTTGATTGGTGTACGTTTGTGACCTTTACACTGTCCACTGGTAACGCACCTTTTTAAAGACAAACTCAACTTGGCAAAATCTCTGAGTACAGTATGTCAAAGAAAGAGCAAAATAATTTTCTATAGCTACTGTAGCCTGTCAATATATATTGTTGGTTTTGTGCTGTGAAGAGAATGAAAATAAAGTGTTATTTGGAGCTGTCAAGGTGCTAAATGATTAAAGAAGAATTTTACAGTGTAGCTAAGTAACAACCGAAAATGAAAAAGTTGACAAATCAAACAAAACTAACACTGAGTTGCTAAAATACTAAAAACTTGACAAGCTTTTAGGTTTTCAAGAAACACCTTTGTTTAAAAAGTTTTCATGAAATTTGAATATGTTAGTAAACTGGTCTATTCCATAACCAGAACCCAATGTTGTGGCACAGAATTGTCAGATATCAAACCACCTCGAAAGGAAATGTTAGGAAATTGAATTGGTGTTAAATATGATACTACTTTATCTGTGATTAGACTGAAATGATTAGATTATACCTTTAGAGGACAGTACCAAATTCTGTAGTAAATGTAGTACATATATAGTCTACCTCTCTTTGTATGTCAATACTAATTGTAGCTGAACTTGAATGAATTGTTTTATAGAAATCAGCATGATTTAGATGTAAATTCAAAATTCTTAATCATTACAAAAATGAAGATGATACCAACATACATGTAGTTGCGTAACTTGTAATTATGAATGTGATATCATTTCACCGACCATGAAACGTATGCAAAGATATGGTGCCTTTGCAATTTGAATTTGTATTTGTCTTATGAATTGAACAAACACATTAAAATCCCTGTTTGTAAATTTTGTTTGAAATGGGTGGTGCTCTATTGAAATTAGGTCATGTCTAGGCCCATTAAGGCTCATTCACATTATGTAAACTTTTGTGTTTAAAAAATAAATAAAGACAACATGAGCATAATATGCTTTACATTTCTGTATCTTATAACAAAACAATGAAGTGCGCACGCATGTCACTTAGGACCTTTGTTGCGCACAATTTCTTTTGTTATCCCAACTTGCCATTCATGTACATTTAAAAAAAGGGATAAAATGCTGTGGTTTTGCTTGTCAGGCACGTCTGAACTGAACGGGTCATTAGAGAGTAAATTGATATTTTATGGGGTCCATTTTTAATGGTTATCAAAGTCTGTTATAGCTTTATCTATTGATATGTGGTCAAAGTTGTTCCTTTTTAGTTCAGATAAGCATTACTCGCTGCAGACGTGATATTTACTTTGAGAATCCTTAAGTATTAATGTACATGTATCTTAAAAGATGATACCTTTTTATACTGTATTCATCACGATTGGGATTGTCACGTTTATCTCATTAATGGGATGTCCTATTGGCCTGACGTCAAACTAGTGACCTTTTTACAGTTATTACTTTGTGACTGTATTTGCCCAAGGTTGTTAAGTAGAAAGGGCTAGTCACAAATGACTCTTAACAAATAAGATAACGATAAAATCTCTTGGCAGTTCAACATTTCCTGCATAGGGCTATGTTATTAAAATCATTATTGTGTATGTTTAGAACCTGAAGGGGTGTTAACTTTGTAATATAGTAATGAGTTAATGCCTTTCTGGCGCCAGACTGACTATATATTTTATGTGACCCTACCTTTCATAGATAAGAAATCTATTGTTCCACTTCTACTCCTGCTGTTATCCAAATAGGTAAATTAAATTCCCATGCTATTCTTCACTAAATGAACAATATGTAATAACTTTCAGGAATGTATTTAGCCCTGTAGAGCAGATGGTAATACAGTTACATGTAACTCTGCATAACTCGAAGTTGCACAAGTTGAATTTTCCCTTAGTGGAATCCATTTTTGACAACCAAACTATGCAAAACATGTGATATTTACACTTCCTGAGACAAATAGTCCAATTGATTTTTGCGGTCCCAGCAGATTAGACTTCTGTAGAGTGAACTTTATTTCTGGAAAACTGCTAACCTAGGGGGAGAGTTGGGGTTGATTTGCAAGTATTTAAAAAAAACATTTGTTTATACTTTGTTCTATCCCTGCCAAAAGCAATACTAATAATGCAATTAAGAAATAGAACAGTGTTTAGTTTTCAGTCCTATAACCTGTTCCCTTTATGAAATAGATGCTGTTAAATGTCCCTGGTTGGATGAATAGGCCTCTCATTTTCTTTGGTGGACATCTACATGTATATATTCATATATAATATTTATTTCACGATTTGCTAAATATACAGTAATTATGGATGAAAGTTTATACTTGCACTGAAATCATTACAATTTTGGAGACCCTTGAGTAGTGGTTTGATTAAAAGATAATATGTTCACTAATGTACATACAACTATATATTTATGTGAATGTGTAAATAGATTAACGATAGCATTTATTGAACAATGTGTGGCTTATGTGGACATGCAGCTATTAATAAAATACTTTGATAGAAAAATAAGATGTTTTTTGTGTGTTCCTTTGGTTTTTTCTCCTCTTGACTTGTGGACAAGAATAAAGCCAAACATCAAAAAGTGCTGTAGAAATAAATAGTAGTTCATGTATTTGTAGATTATGTACAAGTGGGACCAGATTTACAACATGCTTCTTCAAAGATTGATTATTTCATCGGCATGAAATGGAAAGATGTCATATAAAAAGACAGACCTTTGTAAGGTAAATAAATGTAAAATGCAAATAACACAATAAGATTTCTTTCAGTCCGTATAAAGACTTTATTTATTGAGTGTTCATCAAATATGATAAAAAAGATAATAAACTGGTATGACTTGTATATCACATACAATATAGGTGCATATCCTATTAAACCTTGTGAAGGTCAATTACGATCTTTTTTTTCAAAAACCAAATGATATTTAAGTTGTTACAGATGCACCTACTTGGCAAACCAATAGGGTGGTGAAGGTTAGGAGCCAGAGCATATAACACTGAGTTCCTATAGGAAATCTTTTCATTCAGATGGTCATATATCAGCCAATACCTAATATATTCAATTGGTTTTCGACATTTGGACATTATTTTTGATGCTTTTTCGGAAAATGAAGAAAAAATTGAGAAATTCTAAAAATAGATTTGTATGACGTCACAGCTTTGGTACTCTATGATGTTTCCATTCGTGTTGATCATAAATATTTAAACACGTGACAGAAGGTGAATTAGAATTATCAACCTCGTTTATAATCACAAATAATACTACTTATATTCAAACCATTCAACTTTGAACCTATTAATTATCTGTGTACATTTTAGTTCAATTTAAGGAGGAGCCGTTTTTCTGAAGTACATTTAATTTCATTTTTAGTTTTTAACGTCAATGTATTGCATCTTGATTTTCATTTGATTTATCCGGCATGCCTACGATGCATTTTTCGGACTTTTCGAAATAGAAGATTTAAAATTTCACTTTGATAGTAATTTCATAAAAGTTTAGAGGTTATTCAAATTGTCCCTAAAATCCTTGTGCAATATGTACTAACTTAATATGTACAGAAGTATCGCTAGAGTTGCACAGTATAAAAGTTTGAATAATTCACAGAGCACACAGACTATGAAAAAATACACAAAAAGATGTATTGACGTAACAATATTATCAAATAAGTAGAAAATAAATGTCCATTTTGAACTATTGCACACAAATCAGTATATTAAGCTAATCAGAAACAAACAGCTAACAAGTTTATTTTCTAGGTTGTACATTAAGAATCATTAGAGGATGCATAATATAAGTGAATAATACAATTTGATCACTTTCCCGTAGTATGGTATATAATGTTCTTTATTCATAGATTCATTAATCCTGTCCCTAAGAAGAACTCTTCGTACAATCAGATAGATGAAGAGTCGCAAAACTACAAACAACTGATTAACGAAATTGATTTGTTTACGTAACAACTTTGGCATGGCATGACCTAATCATAATTTTTTTAAATATAAGTAATTTCAGAAATGGTGATTGCCTTCGTCTGCAAGGAATACACATGAATAAACACAACGGTGTTTGTTAAAGCTCCGTTGCACTTCGTATAGCTACTTGCGCCCTCTATATAGCAAACAATGCCTAATCGGTGTCTGTTGATCCCCCTGATCCTCGTTTTCTTATATTAATTGAGAGCTGATTTGATGAGATAACCACCTGTCAATGACCTTGCATGGAGGTCTAATCCCCCCCCCCCCTGGCCAAACTAGTGCAGACGGGCATTACGATACGACCATGTAAGCAAGTCCATGTCTGACTCAATTAATTTAAACAATGTACAATAACATCTGATTCACTTGGCCTCTCAACCTTTCCTTGGACTTTAAGCCATAAATTGTATGGGCACGTAGATGTCTCCATGTACTTTATTTTCAACCACCCAGAAATAACGAATATAAAGAAAACGATCGAAGAACATCATTGTTACAAACGATAATGATGACTTCTCTATATCTATTTTCTGTTGTGGTAAAACGCATTGAACAAAAGTAAATATCTTCCAGAAATCTAGAAGTTCATCAATCAAAGAGGCACGATAGCTCAAAATAGAGCAATGGTCTTGTAAACGGGAGGTTCCGGGTTCGAAACCAAGTCGATGCGCTAGTGGCTTATTCGTAATGCATTGATACTCATCACCAATTCCTTCGCATAGGACTTAAAGCCGTCTGTCCCCTGGTTGCTTACTTACTATAGAATACACATCCTTTGTCAGCATTGTTGTAAAACAAACAAACAAACAAACATCATGCATAATAAGCGTCTGTCAGAAATGACTTATATTCCTATAGAAAATGACAGATTGTTGAAAGAACCATGGTTAAGTGTCTAATGTCTATTCGATTTGTCACAAATGACTGAATTGTATGTCAAGTTATGTTACCAAGGTTTTCAAATGGATAACTCGTCATTTTTATCAATTCTATCAATTCTGTCAACCGTTCTGATCTGCACTTTGCAAGCAACAGCACAATGGTAGAGCGTGTTTTTCTTTTCTTCTTCTTCTTCTTCAGAGGATGTTCCCCACAAAATAAAATGCTTCTGGTGAATGATTTTGCATCATTCGCTTTCAACTCAAATCCCAGCAAGTTTTGCCTCACTGTATTTACTTCTCTGAAACCTGAAACATCGAAATTGTTTCGATTTGCCACAATCGAATGATATCTTCATCTGAATTTGAACAGCTTCTTTTTTCTTCGTCGTCAAACAAACTCATCAGCTATCACACACAGTAAAATGGCTAGTTCCTGGCAGG